GCTGGCGCAGGCGGCGGCCACGAGCAGGCAGAAAACAGCGACGATCTTCATGGTTACCTGTTTTATTGCAGTAAAAAAAAACAAAGCGTTATCGACGATGTCAAAACACCCGTAGCCCTCAAACGAATGAGCAAACCCACTGACGGCAAAAAATAAAGTTATACAGTGTTTTAAATAAGCAAACGTGTAAAATCTACGAAGGCTCTTTTACTCTTGCATCACTACTATAGAGTATAGTTTATAATGAATTGATTATTTAAGATATCACGATCGTGTATGTTGAGTGCATAACGAGCGGCGCACTCAGAGACAGGAACGACAGCTATTTAACGCATGTACGTAACAAGCAAAATTGCAAAAACAGTCTTACCAAACAGAACTCAGCCACTTATATCCGATGACTGCTCGCCGACTCACGTGGAGAAGTGATAGAAACAGGCAGAAAAGTAGTCCTTATATATGTCTGAGAAAAAGCGACCGAAGAAACGTTCACGGTCAATGCAGACCGAATTCTTTTATCCCAAAGGGGCGGTCGGCTGTCGTCATTCTCTCGCGGCGGGAAACTTGGCACGTTGCTATGACTTTATTGACACTTGTTTTTGTCTAAAGTGGATATCACGCAGACAGCAGCGAACAAAGCGAATGCATCTCTGTTTGTTGACCGTGTTCCGGATTTTCACTTTCTCTTTTCCCTAACGGCCCAGTGCGGACGAGAATAGCACCCTATATCACCTATATCGTGAAAGCGAGAGGAAGAGAAATCGTAAAAACAGATGTCCTTACTTGAAAACCCGGCATTGTCGTATGAATGTAAATTGTACCTGGCAATGTTCATTGCCCTACTTTCTATTTCCTATGTGTAGCTTCTAATCCTTTACTGCGAAGTAATGACCATCGCTTGTCTGTCTAGCTCTACACCGTGCTCCAGTATGCAAATTGAAGTGCTTTATATCCCGTGGCGTTGGTGCGCCAACTGCACCAAGGCTACGCGAAATACCATGCGATATAAAAATTAATGTAAAAAATACAATGTATTTAACATCGCAACACACGCGCCCGCGCGCGTATGGTAACACCACGCGCGTGCGCATGCACACGCACACGCACACACACACACACACACACACACACACACACACACACACACACACAC